CTCTGGCTTGGCCAATATGAGGGGTTAAGACCTGTGCACTTTAGCTGCTGTAGTATCTTCAAATTCGTCAAAATTCAATGGACCTTGCGAAGCTTTTAAGTCCTCGCCGGCCGACCTCTTCTGTCTCACTTCTCCCAACTTCCATACTCCAATATATTGTATTAACCCCTCAGTAATCGCGTGGTTTTAACCCCCATTAGTAGCCGCAAGGGGAGTTAAATTTCAAAGCGATATCTGGAAAATGAAAGCGAAAGAAAAACATTGCATGTATGTTCACCAGGATGTTCTGCTGCTTGTTAGTGCTATACAAGAGACTCATGCATAGTTATCATATATTCAAAAGGTGCTGAAGTAATCAAGCTCTAGCAAAGCAAAACATATGTGGTAAAGTGTCTATTGTTGTCAGGGAAAGGTAACTTGACAATGTTGAAGAATGCCCTAAGTCTATGAGATCTAAAATCTTGTCACTCCAACATGTTTTGAGCACCAAAGGCTCAGGTTTTCGATGATTTAATCAATTTAATTAAATCATGAACCACTGAAGGTGCACCCAATGCAAGTTTGTTTGCCCAAAGGTTAACTCATTTGTATGCTATATTGTCAAAAGCCTTGGCCCCCTAATGTAAATGATGATTAACATACCGTAACACCACTATAGGCCTTAGTAACCATACTAGCAGGTCTATCATGAGGCCTGGTCAAGATCTGGAACATCAGTTGACAATGTGGTAGCAGCTCAATGGGAGCATAGTATGTTCTGACAGGGTATGGTAATCATTACCATTTGGCCAGAAGATCTAGCTTCACTGCTATGATACTTCTGGACCTGTTCAGGAAACGTGATGTACAGGGTGGTGCAAAAGTCACGCACCATAGGGGAAATAACAGTAAATTTCAGATTTGTTTACCATTACCTTGAAAACATATTGATTTGCTGCACACCTGTTTGAACAAAAATTAACCCACTCTTCTTTTGCCAATTTTGCAGCCATCACTTACCTGCAAAGAAATAAAAAAAGAATTAATGTAGTGCAACAGTGAAATCCCCTATGGTGTACAACTTTTGCACCATCCTGTATAATGTCTTAGAACAGTGGCATTGTCCTGAGCACACAAGTAACCATGCCTGGCTTGCTTGGGTTCAGACTGTTATCTTTGCCCAAGGGGATCCAACACCTTATTGATAGGTGAGGCAATGTTAATGATCACAGATGGGTTTGGATTTTCGGCAAGATGTTGCTTATATTTTCATATTTCAAGGATTTCTTAATCTTTATTCATATAAAAGGAATTATGAGCTCTTAATCTAAGTGAAAATTTTATATGAGACCATATATGAAATGGTAATACATTTAGCCAGTCTAACATATATGTGGGCTATATGATCATATAGTGCAATTCCTTTATGAAGATATATGAAATATAAATGGAGTTTGATACAAGTCACATGAAATCATAAAGCAATGAAAATATATGGCCCCATATATTTTCATGTATTGGCTCATACAACTACACCATATATTCTATGTCTCATCTTGTCCATATATGAAGTTAAACCTGTTTATGTATGGTGTTGGCTGAAACATACCCACATACTAAAAGGGTTCATAATCCATCTGTATAACTATACTGTACTGTATACTGTAGAATCATTCAAATGCCTGTCACCATATTGGACTTATTTTTATTGCAATTAACTCATTTTTACTACTGAGACCATAGTCAATTACTCCAAGAACTCATGTTTCATGATGTTTAACCCTTTGAGGAGTGGGTTTTTTAATGCCTAGAAGATCACCCGTAGTGAATACATGGAGGGCAGGAGGATGTCAGCCCATATATATACAGGCATACTTGTCGAAGGGTTAACATACACACATTTGTTACTGAAAGTTTCAGTTTTATACACTTCTACTTTCACAAAAATGTTCACTGGTAATGCTATTTCATGACAAAAACTTGACTTACTCATGTCTTCTTCATTTTGAACAAATAACTCACAAGATAGATGGGAACAAAAACCATTTCTATTGAGAAATAATCTAAAGAAGGAACATCCAATCAATGAAAGATAAATTGAAGGAGTTGTCCATTCACTATTGTTAGGAGAAGAATGTCAATGCTGGTATGATATTATTTTTGGTGTCAAGCATATCCTCTGGTAGTCTAACTTTGTTTTCCACTGACCAGCAGTGGCATATTGTTGGGGGGACCAGGGGGGCGTATGCCTCCACTTAACACACAAAAAGGGAAGCATTGATAAGGAAAAGAATCATGAAATGCATTGTAACAGTGCCACAGAGTTCCCATGGCCCCCCCCCCCCCCAGCTTTTTTCATCCTAGATATGCTTGTGCTACCTAGGGAGGGTAGGGGTTCAAAATAAATATTTTGGGAAATTACTTTAAAGGTTATACATAGTCAATCTTTCATATGCAATGTAATGGGTGAATTAAAAATTAGTTGCAGAGGCACCTGAAGGTCAATGGCCTTCTTCTAACAACGTCATGCAATGGCATATTTTATGGGGGGTAGGGCATGCAGCAGCCCCCCCCCCCCCCCATACCCCTAGGACGAAGCTTGGTGCCCCCTTGGAGGTAATATATTTCTTCCCTATTATAATTTGGTCTTTGGTGACTGACTCCCATTCTGCTGCCCTGCCCGATTTGGCTCTTAAGCCTAAATACACCACTGACCTTGTGCTATGTTTGCTAACAACCATAAGACTTATCTATAGATATTCACCACGTGTCAGTCATGATGTCATATAATTGATAATTTATGAATGCATATGTGATGGTAAATGGTAAATATATGATCATATATGGTTATATAGAACCATACACCCTGTCATATATTGAATTTTCATGTGGGAAGGCACCACATATAGCACCGCATAAGAAATACTGTTCAAAGACCTCAATACTCAGCTTCATAGTCAAGGTTTAGACCTAAGTTACACTGTTTTCATTTTGACTTCCCATATTTAAGCATAGATATGGTGTTTTTGCCTATGGTAAAAGGGATTGTTTTCCAACAGAAAGGGAGATTTTGCACAATGCTCATTTCTCACAAATTTTTCAGGCTGGCATAAATGTAGATGTTTTTTACTAGATCTGGAGATTTGTGGCAAGATTTATGTTCTGTGAAATCTCCAGTGGAAACTCTATTAAAGATATTTCCAAGAGATTCCACTTCATACATACATACCATACCCTCTACCATAGGATTGTTATAGATTTATATTGATATACAGTGTGGTCATAAATATTCACACCAAAATAATTTCTTAGAGAATTAACCAAATCTCAAGATATGAAGACTCACTGTAACTATCCACAAAATATTTTTTGATTTGTCCAGTAGTTCTTGAGTTTGTTGGTTAGTTACACTTGATGGACATGGTCCAACTCCTCTTTTAGCATCAGCTGTTACTGATTTGGGTCGCTGGATTTTCTTTTTGCACCCTTACTTCCAGCAGACTCCACATACAGTAATCTGTTGGAATACAGAGTTGTAAGGGTGCCATTTGTGTTCTTTGATCATTTCAGCAACATGGTCAACCTGACAAGTTTTTAAAGTGAAGCCAATTTACTTGGAGGAGTCCTATTGAAGCATCCAAGCTTGGCCATCAAAGAGATACTGTCTCATAGGTACCAAGTACCAAATATTTTATTTCTTTGCTTTTTTTGCATGCAGAAATAGAAAAGTTATATATGGTATGAATATTTATGGCCCATCCTATTCATGGGGCAACTAAATCATGATGCTACTTCTAGGATTTTCTATTTATTCCCCATACTGGTTGAAGAAATGCTTGTACACAAAAACCTAGCTTGACTTTATTTCTTATGATTTCCTTATTTCTCTGCATTTCATTTAGTGCAGGATATGAAATATTTTAGATGTAGTTTGACTGTAGTAGATGTAGCAGTTCTATGTAGTACCAACCCACTCATAAGTTGGGGAAGAAACCTTACAAGAAGTTCACTAAAAACAAAACTCACATGCTCCTCATTTTAATCAGATACTGGAGTTACTAATTCCAGGAAAATGACTATCATTCCTTTGCATATTATTCCCTCAGCCATTTTGTGTAATTGTTGGTCATCATTGATTTGATGCTAGCACTAAATTGAATTAAACATTTTTCCTTTTATAAGCCTAGGGAGAGATTTTCCCTCAGGAAGAGGTTGTTGATAAGTGAGGATGGCATTATACAAAGTGGTGTTATGACAAGGGTAGAATGTAATTTCAGAATTGATTTAGAAAACAGGCAAATGCAATCCAAGATATTGCAACATAGGTGCATGACTTCAGAACTTTTGATTTGGTTTCCTGGGATTTGATAATTTGGATCCTAGTTTGATATTTTTTTTATTGAATTGCATATTATTAGGCTTTTTCTGTGAAGTAATATCACTGTAAAACATACTGTAGCCTAGAATATCTCATTCAAAATTACATCATAGTATTTTGTGTATGGTTGCTTTGTACAGTGATTTTTGACTGGTTGCACCCTGCTTACTCCCTTCTAAATGGTGTCATGCAACTTGAATGGCATCTGCCTTTTCAATACTACATCAGCGTCTGAAAAGGGAATTAGTATAGTACATCCAGGCCCAGAAATTACCAGGTAGCATGAGCCCTTGATGGAGTCCCATTCCCTATGACCTGTCAAAAGCTGTCAAGCCCTTGCTTTCCTTTTGTCTCAAACCTGTTTTATTTGGGGAATGGGAGGGAGAAGAATAAGACCCAAGTATGACAAATGAGACTTTTGTTGCTTATTATGGATTAGAAGTGGTCCTTCTGGGATTAGATGGTCTGTACTTCATGTTTCCACCATAGTAAGAAGGATGCATGCAATTAGAAATCATGTAGTACTATCATTTGAATGAGGCATTGTATCACATTATCTTCTCTTAGACATTGTTGAGTGCACCCAAGTGATGGAGGATCCATGACCCAAATGATGTGGGCATTCTTTGCTTTGCTGTTTTGGATGCTTGTAAAAGCATCAGCTGAATCAAACAAATGTGAGGTTGTGCAGGAAGTGGAAGATTATGGAATGATCTCACAGAAGACCTTTCAGGAATCTCTCTGTGACCAAGTCCTTATTACTCCCAAAGACCAGAAGTTGGCTTTCAACTTTGTCCAGGCAAAATTGCTAGATGGAGAGAGGCTTTTGCTTCTCTACAATGGAGAACGTTTGGAAGTGAATGAGAGCTGTGCTCTCTGCTTGGGCATGATAGTGACAGAAAAGCTTACTATACGTGTTCTGGTTCCACCCTCTCTTGAAGCTGAACGTGATTCCCGCTCAACAACCTCCATCCCAGAGAACCCTAGTGTTTCTGAGATTCGATTTGGGAATCTCAGCTATGAATTTGACATTCATGATGTCATGATCAATGACATCAACAGTGGCATTAAGAGTAATTTTACCATTCTCTATCGTGTGTTCAACCCGGATCGTTGCAAATCCCCTGAACCTCCATCTGAAGGGCGAGTTGTGGGAAAAGATCATCGTCTGGGTGGGAAGGTACAGTTTGTGTGTGATCCTCCTTATGATATGGTTGGGGAATCAGGTTCTGTGTGCCAAACTTCAGATGCAGGGATTCCAGAATGGAGTGATGCCAATGGGAAGTGTGAAGTAATTTGTCAGGTGGAACCACTCATTCGTAGGATGGAATCGGGTGCTATCATGAATCCAGAGAAGAATGAAGAGCAGTCAGTTTGTAAATGGAAGATTCAGACTGACAATGACAATGGGCTTGTATCCTGGATCCATATAGAGTTCAAGTATCTTGACCTTAAGAATGGCTCCTTGAGTGTCTTGCCTCTGAGAGATGGAATAGGAGGAAGGTATGAGGAGCTGACCTGGAAGGTCCGTGGACGTCCTGAAACCCTGGTGATACCTGCAAGAGAATTGCTTGTTGAATTCCAGTCACTTCATTCACAGGATGAATTCTATATTTCATACAATCTCACTGCTGGTGATTGTATCCTGCCAGATGTGGATCATGGCACTTGGGTCAGTCAGGACTCTGGAGTTACATTTGTCTTGTTCTGCATTTCTGGTTTCCAGCCTATTAGCAAAGGAAATGTGTCTTGCATTGAAGATTTACAGAAGCTTGTGACATCTTTTCAGTGCATAAGAGCCACATCACAGTCACTACCTTTCACTCATGGCACACAGGTAAGTTCAAACACTTTCTGCTATTTTCCTACAGTACCATCCTCTTCCGCTGTATTTAATTCCTTTTTTCTACTTTCCTTCCTCAACACCTCTGAGGAGGAAGGAAGAAGTCGACAGAATGAACCTATTGTGCCTCCCATAGTGTAATGGGATGTTTAAGGTCATTATGCATGGTGCATAAATGGAAAGCTTAAGAGCCACTGCTCTAGGTACTGAAACCTAATGGTGGTCTTAAAAAATGACATTTTGAATTCATTTGGTGTGATTAATGATTAGTGACATTTTGGTTTTGTCCTTATTAAGGCAGACAAAAAATAAAAAGCAACCCCAGGATGGTAACTTCATGCATTCTCACGAACTGAAAATCTTGGACTTTGCTAATCCTCTTAAATGTTGCAACTTCTTAAGAGATTGATATAAAGATTAGGTGCATACTTGTCATTTTTGTGGAATGAAAAATGACAACTGATCAGGCATCAGGGTCATCAGTAAGAATCCTTCAATTGGATTCTAACTAATTTGTTTAGGCAATTTGGGTTGCAACTGCACATCAATACCACTCGAGTTCCTTTGAATATATTTATTTCAGTGATGTAACATTATTTTCACAATATTTGCATTCAAGTACATCAATGATGTTGCTAAATCTCAGGCTTAAGCAAAGCAGCATTTGTTTTATGACAGGAAGCACCTGAGGGTTGCTTGATAAATTTCCGCAAACTATTTTTAAAATCGACAATAATAGTTGGATCGTCTTGAAATTAACTGCGAGTGATTTGCGTACCTTCATTAAGGTTCAAGGTAATTTTCACCATCACCGATGCATTTCTGCCATCTGGTAGGTAAAGAATGTATCCTCTTCTGGAAGAAGTCTGTTGGTTGTTGTTGGGAGCCAAGTTGTGGCAGCCTCTTTGAGGTCTCCATCAGAGGAGAAGTGAATTCCCTATATATGATCTTTCAGTGGACTGAACAAGTGGTAGTCTGATGGTGCCAAGTCGGGGCTGTAAGCAGGGCATTGCACGATGGTCCATGTGAAAGCTCCAAGTTTTTTTTTGGGTTGTGAAAGCCACATGAAGATGAGCATTGATGGAGACCTCAAAGAAAGCCACACTGCCATGACTTGACTCCATCAACAACCGACAGACTTCTTACATTCTAAGGGGTTACATTCTTTACCTGCCAGATGGCAGAAATGCATTGATGATGGTGAAAATTACCTTGAACTTTAATGAAGGTATATACATCACTTGTGGTTAATTTCATGTCTATTGTTGATTTTAAAAATAGTTTGCGGAAGTTATTGAATAACCTTCAATAACCTTCAAATATCTGCAATATTTTCCTTAATTTCTCAGTCTGCCTCAGTGATGTCTTTTCCTTCTCTGTGCTGATCCAGATTGTAATAGCTCTTTCAAGATCTTGATTAGTATATTTCATTCCTTCAAGTTTAATGCCACATCTACATTGTAAATAATTTAAATTTATCTGCCGGGGTTATGCCCCAGTCATTGATTTCATTACGCTATTTTAGACTAGTCAGTGGACTAAATGACTAGGGCAGGTGTATTGATTTTTTCAGAATACATCAATGGGGTTTTTTGACATCCTTGGCATTTTTTAACTCTTCATGAAGATGTGATTTCATAGGGAAACCACCCTCTTATTTTTTCCCTTGGCTTTTGTTGGAAATTGTTTAAAGTTTCCTCTACCTTTGTATTACTCAAGAGCCATATAGTACACAGAAAATCTTCCTCTTGAGTAAACAAAGCAAGATATATGACAGGTAGCAGGAAAATTAGATGAAAAGCCATATAAGGCAAGGAAATTTTTTAAAGTCTGGTGCCTCTTTCAGGATATCGTGTGGTTTTTTTTTACATTTCTGTTCAGTAGCACTAAAACTGATTGACATCGCATTAAATGGATGTGCTCTGAATGTAAAGTTGGTCTCTTACATATCATCTCTCATAAACTGCCTTAACCTGTACCATCAGAATGAATGTGTTGCTTGATTTCATACCATGGGGATTGCCAACTGTAAACGCCCTACAATCAGTACTAGAAAATTGAATAGATTTTTTTGCACCACAGTTATTTTTTTTTACCCCCTACCAAGTCTCTATCACAATTTTTGCCACTTTCCAACAAAGATATAAAAATTTGTGTCTCAAAGGGTTAAAAGGAATATAGTGGAGGGAAATGGTAGATGAACTTGAAATCTTTTGGGTATGGCAATGGCAATATCACTACTACTCAGAATGATTGACTCAAATAGCCCCATCCTATTCTATCCTCTGTAGAGTGTTATATTGAAATTCAAAATAAAGAGACATATGCAAAATCGTTTTTAAGGAAACATGCATGCAAGTTTCATGAGATTTGCTTTGTGTGTTATGGGAAATAAAATGTGAATGGCCCATAGCAGTCAAGTGGCAGTCAATATTTTCACCATGAATTTATGGCAGACATAGGTATCAGCCACCATTGTCTAGTAGGGTGTTGCATAGGGTGTAGTATATCAGTATTTCATCATACTGCAGTATTTGGTTCCCATGATAACCATACTGACCTACTCTGCTTTTTTTTGTAATGTCACCACTGTATGGATACTGTAGGACATTGCCTGAAGTCATACTGCTGCCACAGCACCATACATTGCATTCATTTATAAATAATGAAAAATTACTGTCAACTATCCTCCCCATCTCCATCCACAGTGATACCCACTACTTGGGGAAAACCAAAGCCCTCCAAGTGGTCGCAGGATGGTATTTAATCTGGTCTCATGAAGAGAAATTCATCATTGGTGGGTTGGACTTTGTCCTTGACTGTGCTGTTGGTTCATATGTGTTGATGTGCCTGAGCACTCAATTCCTTCATCATTTTATGTGAGATATGATAATATTGCAGCAACTGCTTCCTCCCACTTCTCATTGATATCAGTAAAATACTATGGTATTGAGCCATAGTATTCACATAGAGAAATTCATCACATACCACAAGACCCTATTATCTATCATGCCATCAGTCATGTAGGAAGTAACATGCATTTGTCAACATTACTCTCTATTGGTCTCCTTAAAAGGACAGAAGCTGATGTGTCTTGACAAAAATCAAACTGAACCAGTCATGATTTAGTGTTGTTGAGACCTGAGTTAAGTGATGGTGTCAGGCATCTGGTGGGAATTCTCTTTTCTGCAAAAATATTTACCTGTTGCCAGCCAAAGGCAAAAACAGTGAAGAGCAATATAAAACTCAACAGGTCAATGATAGAGTGAAAAAGGTTGCATACAATGTGTGAAATTCCTTTTCATTAAATATATACTCTCTGCTCCCTATGCCTTTTTCATTTGATATATAACCTTATTTCCCTTGGTTGTTCTTCATACACTTCTGCAATTATGGAATTATGTATTCCTGGAAAGCTGTATAAAAATGGGTTTTCAGTGACTGCTGTTTTATCTCTATGGATTTGGATAATGAGAAATTCCAGAGAGAAGGCATAAATTTGTTTCAAAATCTCCTGAATCCTGAATCCTGAATCTCCTGAGCTCCTGAATTCTCTTATTTTCCTCATCTGCCTATAAACTCCTGCAACTCCGTAGATATTGGATTGGCTGACAAGTATCAAATGATATTCTATGTGGCAATAAGGTTTTGTAGTGAGGTTTTTAAATGAAGCTCACTGGAGGCTGTAAAGTCAGTGGAGGATAAAGGAAATTTCCCCCCCCCCCCCCCTAGATGAGTATACATTTATAGAACTTTTCTTTGATTCCAGGAAAACATGACTGAAGCCATGCATCCAGTTACTGAAGGCACTGTCAGCAACATTTCCCTGGTTCTGGAGGAAGAAGCCATAATTGATGGAGGAAACAGTGATAGAGCACCTGCCTCTCTTCTTGATATGGAAATCATGGGTTTGAAGTTCTGGGTGTTTATTACATTCCTTATTGGTATTCTTATCCTCCTTCTTATCATTGGCTTACTGATCTTTTTTGTATTTCAAAAACGAACAGTTCGTTGGACCCTGGGTAGAAAGTTTGAGACATTTGAGAATCCGATTTATAGTCGTATTAGTCTGAGACCTCCATTAGATCCCAAGGAATCCAGTCAGAAACCTGAAGTTGAAGAACTTGAGACATGCTCTTGTCATTAGTAGTGCAATCATGTAATATCATTAGCTATAAATTGTAAGACTTGATATTCGGACTGGGAGTTTCTGCCATCTAGTCTCCATTTACCCGGTGTCACTTGAACTGAGTGACAATGGGAAGCCATAATTGTTTGGTAGGCTTCCTCTTCAAACATTTCTAAGATCAAACCCAAAAACAATCAGGAAATGAGAAAGAGATTTGGTTTGATTCTCACTCTTTTTTATTCCAATGGAGATTAAGACCACTACTTATTGTGCATGATAGCTTTGTTTAGGGTCTGCTCAATAGAGGGGAAGTATCATTGAATTGTAGCCTCTTCTGACTCTGGTAAATAGTTTCACCAACTTGTCTGTATGACTTCCCATAGTCCTGCTTTCTTTTTCCCTTTACAGTCACTCTCAATTATTGTGATCACTTTGGGTCTGTATGAAATGGTTACTATGAGCAGCTGATTACTATATCACACACCAAGTTTGTGAAGTGAGGACTAGGGCATTCTAATATTTTTAGCTCCCTCTTGCTGCCCTATATTTGTTTGCTTATTGTAACACTCTAGCCTTTCCTTCTCACTCTTAGTCAAAGCTTTCCACTTCGTCTTTAAAGGTCTCAGAGAAAACAATGCTGTCAAATTGTTTCTCCTTTCATAGGAAAGTTGAGAATCATTTTTCTGCATGATCCAATATTGAAGAAATTATTTGACATGGAAAGGGACACCAATCTCCCTTTTTGTATGACCTAGAGAGTCTAATCTGATTTCTGTATCCAACAGGCTGACCACAATAATTAGAAGAAGTTACTTGGGAAAGTCCTAAGTGGATTGGGCTAGCAAATATTGATAATGAAAGCAGCTTATATATCTGCAATCACAATAAGTGACAGTGACTGAAAAATTAAACATGAGTCATCTGGTCAATTTCATAGTCAAGGGCTACCAGGGAAGTATTTCACTTGAGTACGTTTTTTCAAGTCAAATTCATTGCTGCATTGATCATATTTCCCCTCCCTCATGAATGTGGTTGAGCTGAAGAGATTAGTTGTCAGGTATGTATTGCTGCAATTTTTTTTTTTAGCTGTGAGGGATCTGGAGATTGTTAAGCACCTATGATGTAATCAGTATTATGATTTTACCATGCGGGATACAACTTGGTCAGGATAGGTGATAGACAGGGATAGCTCTTGATGTAGAGATGTACCAATGGCAGACTTTTTCTGACTATCATCAGATTGGCTTATTCCATTTATGTTTCTAATACAAAGACTAGTACTGTCTTGGCTCAAAATGATCATGTCAGTGAAGAAACTCATGGTGTTGCTAGTTTTTCATACGTGTTCATAACATCAGGCAGTTATTCCATGACAGTAACTCCTACATTGAATCAGGAAGCTCATTTTCCTGTTGTGTAATATATACTCTGGTATATACTAAAGATGATTATTGATTACATTCTCACATAATCACTTACAGGTTTTGAGGTCAAAAGGATAGATACCAGTATTGGTTTTTGGGAAGAAAAACTATATTGTGCTATCATTGATAATCCTGGCACAATTCTCCAATCATGATACTTTTGTTGGTGCGTCTCTACATCTATGTTTGGTATGGATGTCAAATAATGCTTTATGCTGATTATGAATTTTAGTAGTTCCTATGGTGTAACTAGTGGGCTTGAAGTCAGTTCTGAGTGCTCTACAGATGGTTCAGAATTTGCCTTTCAAGTTGGAGGTGTTTTGAGCACTGATAAGGCAGATATCTGAATTCTCTACTGAGACTTTTTGTGTGATGTATCCTGTGGCTTGCCCCATAGTTAGCTTCAATATGACTGCTATACTGATCTGTGAGCAATTTGAATTTTTTAAACTCAGCAGGTTTTCTACAAAGTTGTTCATGATACTTGTGAGCTTTTTGAATCTCAGTCTTCCTTTTTTTTATTTTACCCATCTCATTTGCTCCACTGATACTCATAAGGGCATTTTATATCTTGTGGTTTTTTTTTAAAGCTCAAAACCTTTTTCAAGTGTTTTTGTGCCAAATGTTGTGCTCTTTTGTTCCTTGCTTGTTGCCAAGTATGTCTTCTTATGTTGCAGATATATGTTCAAAATTTCCTTGTTGATTTGATGGACCTCACTGAAGATCTGTTGTCCTCTGGGACTAATGTATAAGCTTGACAAAACACTGCCAGTTCAGATTTTTTGCCTTCTGCATGTGTCTTTTGTTTAGGTATTCAACAGCATTTCTGGGAAGGCATCATGAATGATTTCAGTGTCAGTGAAAATGAGAGGAGGTAAACATTGACAAAGTGCAGTGGTTCTGCCTATAACCTAATCTAGAAAGCCAGTAGGCACTGGAAAAGCTTTTCTCTCGTTTCTTTCCCGGTCCTTCAGTGTTCTGACTTGTAGAGTTTTGAGATCTCTTACATACCATCTGATGTTACCTTTGTCTATCTTATGATGATGTTAAAAAAAGACTTGACTGCATCCCTACTACATATTTGAAATAGCCTTAAGTTCCCATGAGGGCAAAACCCTAAGAATCTTGATCCTTAACCCTTTGGGGTTCATGCCCAAGTTATTTTGTGTTGGCATAGTGCCAAGGAATGGAAAAAACTCAGAATGACAGTGTCAATCTAATTTATTCAAAACACTTTGACCCCAAAAGGTTAATGGCAGTGAATTGATTTTTTCATGTCTTTGTTGCCCCATGCACTTTGCAAGAAATATCCTTTTCATACTTTGCATAACATGGGCTCAACTATGTACTCTTTAATGAAGCTTTCTTCATCATATATTAGGTGGAGGTAGCCTCAGGCCATGCCACATATGAGATTTCAAATCTCTGTACTTCAAGATAATTAGGACATCAGGTTACACTTACTGTAACAAATGAATATTAATGGACGTGAAGGAAGAAAGTCTTCAGGATAATGAAGAGTTTCAGGTAGAAATGCAGGGCATGTTATAGCCAATGGTGTCCCATTCTGCTTTTGAAATTTTGCAAAAACTTGATCTAAACCAAGATATGTAGTAGAGAATATTGATGGTACTCGTAATAGGTCATAGACTGAAAATGGAGAGTTTGCAAGGTCTCATTTCCTCAGCTTAGAATGAAAATCAAATGTTGATAACATTGATATCTTCTGAAGTTCATCACACAATTGCACATAGTGTGTGAAAAGTTTTGTGGCTGAAAACTGTTGCACAATATCAGTTTTCCAATCAGAGTTTAGACTTCGTTCAAAATTATCATTGATCAATCATATTTCATTCAATATTACACAATGAGCTTCCTAATTACACAATATTGAATGAAGTACTTATTTTCTTGGTTCATTTATCAATCTGTCAATTTTTTTTACTCAACTCTCCTTAGTTTCCTGACATTTTCGGAATGCACATCCCTGCACTATCCATTAGAATTGATCCAAACACACTTTCCACTCTTGCATAGACAAAGCTGTGGAAGAGAAAATTGTAAAAATGAGGTACATCTGTGAGCCAGTTTCTGTGCTTATTAATCTTAACCTTATTAGTTCTTGTATGTTCTCAATGATTAAGGAGTAGATTTAGTAAATTTCCCTGAATTCCCTCAATATTCTGCTCCTGACAAGCCTAAACAGTAAAGGTTGTATGCTTCTTGTAGGGTCATGTGTTAGACCTGTGTGATGAACTAGGAGGCATTTTTCTGAGAAGGTTGAGGTGTTCTTTGAAAAGGATTGAGAGGAAAGGCAGCTGAATGTGAACATGGTTGTGTCTTCCTTGTGATCAGTAGGAAGATTGGAATGATGGTGCTGCTGCCTCTTTCCCTGGCTAACTATACCTGGTGCTGCAATTGGTTGCCAATATTTGTGGATGATCCAGCAGAGATCTGGTTCCAGATCTGTTCTTGCACAATGTATAGGCCGACTTGAGGTATTAAGCTTGCACTGTTATACACCCATGCATTTTGCTTCCAGCTTTTTCCTCTGTACCAAATTTGCTTACTCTTACCAAATTTACTTACTCTAGTCATTGTTGCATTGCATTGCAATAAAAGCCATGACTTATGACCATCAGCTTTGTTCAGCTTTTTGTCCTTTAATAAGCTATGTTTAACCAAAGGTAAGAATTTCTGAGCATCATTGGGAGAACACAATCTCATATAGATGGGATGTTCCCATTATTGATGGTAAAGCACCATCTTCAGTGCAAGAGATGCCTTCCTCAAAGCTTAATTTTGCTGAGTAGCTGTGGTATTCTAAAGCCATGGATCAACTTCATTGCATGTGAATTTAACTGCAGGACATTATTGTAAGAACTTGAGCAGGTCGGACTTCATAGCAAGACTTATCAGGATGTGGACATGGTGCATCTGTTCGAATTGTGGGTTGTCAGATCTATATGGCACCCACCAAATGAGAGGGTAATGAGGATGAGAAGTGGGAAGTGCCAATCAAATCAGATCCCCCTTAACCTATGGGCAACTGCCTCCTTTTGGGGAGGAAGGAGGAAAGATGCCTGCTTGACCTGTATAAGGAAAGGTATTTTAGAACTTAGGGAAATAATGGGTTGAAAGGAGAGGAAGCTCCACCACTGGTTTCCTCCTTCACTTCCCCTCTTCCATCATTGATCATACAGTTTTCCCTTCTGTCCCAGAGCTGCCTGATGCGCTATGTCTTCCTTTACTTATCTCTCTTGACCTGTGATTCAAATGGATGCACTGTAATTGTGATGAATGTAGCCCCTTGTAAAATAAAAAATTGTCTTGCATCTTGGATTCACTTGATAGAAAGCTTGAGGTTGTGTAATATTGCAGTAATTTTTGCTAAGTTGCACCAGAATGATTAATAAGAGAATTGCTCTGGCTCCAGGTTAAGAAAGCCAAAGATGCTACTATGAAACATACCAGACTTGCATGAAAGCAAGTTGCCAGGAAGACCCTGGCAGTCTCTGGTGGACATAGAGGAGTTTCTTGATTGATGTGTGTCCATGCATTTTATCTTCTTCAATCCATTGAGGAACCAAACAACTCTCATATACTCCCTCCTTGTAGCTCTGAACTCATGATGTTGCATTTCCTCCTGCTTTGGATTTTGATAATTGTATGAGAAGCTGTACCTTTTATTGTTATTTGCAACATGTTAATGGTGTGACTCAAATTTTATCATTTTGAGGGAGCATGGGAGTAGTAGGGCCCATAGTATGTAACTTTTACTAGCTCTGGATACAACTTTTTGAGGTGTGTCAACATTCTTTTGAAGTAATAATAGTATTGTATATTCACAAGTGCCTCACTAATTTTATCTACATGTATGTTGATACTCAGTCAATGCAGACTGGGAAGTCGGATGACATTTTGTTCTTATCTTACCCTATTTCCTATCTCAGCCAACATAATGAAGCTCTTCCTCACAAAATCTGCCTAAAGTTTGGCTTACTCTATTACAAGGTGCAATTGTCACCAATCAGTAATAATGTCATTTCTTGGGGCCTCTACACTTGTGGCTAAAATTGTGGAAACACTTGAGAAAAGGCCAATTATCTGCATAAAAGAAATATTATTACAGTATTATTATTTGGATCTCATTACAAATAATTTTTATTGCATTCACTGGTAATGAAGTGATAGTACTTCATAAGTGACATATTTCCATGGAAATGAATTGTATGAAACAGACCAACAATGCAGAGTATATAAAAACCAATAATTTGTATGGTATGGCAAAAGAAGGCAATGTAAATGGTCATGTCAAAGTTTCTCCTGCAATCACTTCTTTTGTAGTAGCAGACACTATACAGTACAATAACTTATGCCTGAATCACTAGCAAGCATGCATTTAAACCATTACCTATGAACTGCAAATCATACAATCCTCTTAGAATATTTACCTGTTGCAAAAGTTTCAATATCTTGAATAGATTGAATTACTTGACCAAACCATGCATTATGACTACAGTAAAATTTTCCAAGGGACCCAAAAATTTTTACCATTAAACTGAAAATACCTTATGATGAAAATGAGGTAAAATATAAAAATTACTGAAGAATGAATCTAGATTGCAATAAGCCTGTCCTTACTCATTTCTTGCAGTTGTATGGTTTTTTGGTTATTTTCAAATCGCTGTTATACCAGCTCTAGAAGTAAACATTTGATTGCAGTGTTGGTATTTTTTTTTTTTAACTATATACCATTGTGCACAATAATGTCAGTAAGTGATCTATGCACTTCTGTTGTTTCAGTGTTAACTTGGATGCTTTGTACCATGTGAAACAATCAAATCCTCACATGACACATGCCTAATGCTGTTGCTTATAAACTTAATGAAATCTATTTACAAAGAAATAGTCTAAATGTACAAAACACAATGATTAACAAGGAACACTAGAAGGATAAGGGCACCAAAAATCTTTTTCTTGTCTAGACAAGTTAGGGGCAGAGTTTACAGGGAGGCCCCTAAGTCCTGTATGGTTGTAATGCATTGCACATGAGTGCACAGCACTGTCGCACACTGTAGCAATGCAGTTATGATACCTTTCCTTTTTTTTCACTGCCTCCCATAATCGTATGGGACTTATGGGCCTCCCTGTAGGTTGTGGACATAAGGCAGGAGTCCCTGTGAATCCCCATTGTTTCTCAGTGCATTTTCTCCCTTCTTGGTTAAACTTTTAATTTATTTCATTGCTACTGGCACTCTAGGGTAGTTAGACTTAATCTTGTACTTTTGCTAAGATTCCATCTTGGGGGGTGGTAATATCTACATTGAAGTATGTAGGTTTTGAGTACATACATTTGAACTCAGCTAATATTTCTACATCTTGAATTTTACAACATTTGGGATTGGAGTACAACCCCACTTCCATGAGAATGAAACACAATCAAAATTATTTCAGTAACATTAAAATTGCACAGTCTTCACAATATGAACATTAAAATGAAATATACTTTAAATTGAAATTCGTTATTGTTAAATCTTTTAGCATGGTTTGCATGGTAAATATATGGGGGATTTGTAAATAATACATTATTCTGAAAAATCCCTTAATCTGATGGCCATTGTAATGGTATTTTACTGTATTCTCCAGCTGATGAGAAATGAAAATATTGTTCTCACCATGATAACTATGACCAGGAGCGCCATATTTTCGATACATGGAAGACTGCATTATTTTTTTAAGTGTATCCACAATTTCAGCCTCTTGTGGTGTGTAATGGTTTAAATGCATGCTTGTTGGCTATTAAGGCATAATTTATTGCATTGTATAGTGTCTGCTACTATTAAAAATGTGATTGTGTGGGAATATTTGATATAACCATTTATATCACTTTCTTTTGTCATGCTACACTATCAGTTTTTATATACTCTGTATCATAGGCCCTTTTCATATATTTTCATTTCCATGGAAATATGTCACTTATGAAGTACTACCTCTTCATTATCAGTGAGTTCAATAAAAATTATTTGTAATGAGATCCAAATGATGATGAAAATATTTTTTTGTATGCAGGTAATATCCCTTTTCTTAGGTGTTTCCACAATTTTGGCCACTAGTGTATATAGTTGTGAACTTGGCTGCTGTTTACTGGATGAACAAATTTTTTATTTAGGCCTAAGGAGGCATACAAATCTCCATCTGATAACAAATCAGAATTGCCACAATGTCTTTTGGTGGATTTCTTTCATGCTTTCATTAGTTCAATGTTTGAAAGGTATCAGTCATGAGTAGTGCAAAGTTATCGGTATGGTGAATATTAAGAACAGGATTTTTTGTTTTGTAATGTGAACTTTCAGAAAAATTTGTCCACAAGCTTGTTGGTCATATTTGCAAGGCTAGCAAAGCTCTCCTTCAAGTTTTGAAGCTTAATATCTTGTAGCTAAGGGCATGCTGAATGCATGCAAGTATGACCACCATGGCATCATGAGGCATATGTAGCATTTGGTTTTTTATATTCTGGTTTTCTCCCTCTTGTATCTCAATGATGAAGTACTCTGAGGATGTATTGTATTGCACTCAGCTACAGTGAAGGCTCATGCCCATCAGTTGTAGAGGCTCTTGGGATTGGAGTGAGGAAGGACAAGGGGAAGAAGACATGGGTCATGAGGAGAGACCAGAGTCAGTTGATGAAGATTCCTTTTTTGAAGGAACTGAGAAGCTCCTTGAAGTGTGGTTCACACGCAAGGATGGCCAAGTTGCTGACTGTGACCTTCGCACCATCCCCAGGTATCCTGGCATTTCCTCTTTCTTTTTGTTGCATGTGTTGGACCTGGTTCAGATTTTCATCCATGCTTGAGGAAATGTCATCCTTTTTTTTCACTCTGTGTTTGATGGATGTGGATTCGATAGAGGTTGACCAGTGGACCCATCATCCTGATGAGGCAGACTCCACTCCAGTCTGTATGTGAGATTTGAGTGAAAAAGCACATTTCTGTAATATTGTATTCTTTTTTTTCATATGATTTAATCCTTTCAAAATGGAAACTATTATTTCCATTGTTTCATTCCTGTAGTCAACTCTACAGTTTCCTGTAGTTATGACTATTTCAGGCAAATTCACGTCTTGTTTTTCAAAGGTTTCATTTCTAATGAAAATGATGATTCTATTGTTTGTTGGCATCCATGAGAAAGATCATCTTTCCCTCTAAAAATCAAGTTTGACTCTGATATAAGGAGTAGGCTAAAGTAATCATTACATTGTCATTATAATTTACAATAGGCCTTTATTCTTTCAATATAAACAAATATTCAAAAGTAAAAAATTGTCTTTGCATGAACTTTATATGTGTTTGTGTATGGGCATGCATCGTATATTTTCCCGAGTGGCAAATGTAAGAGAAAGAAAGGGAGAGGCAACATTTCTAAAGAGGATATATAAGATTTTTTAAAATATGAAGATCCTCATGTTACTTGTAAAATTGAAATATATACGAGCTCTATGACACAATGGCACCATAGTTTTATACCCAGTACATGTGCTAATAGGTCTTCAGTGATAGCCCAAGTAATTGGGGGGGGGGGGCCAGGACACCCTTATGTATTTCCATGGAGTAAATACCTGGATTCCTACACAATTAGTTTCCAGCTTCCCTTTTGATCAAAGAATTAGAAAAATTATTTCTCAACCAAATGCCTTTCTGAAATCCCATAGAGATTTTATTTAAAAAAGAAATGGCATCATAGCATAAACCTCATTAACCCTTTCACTGGCATTTCCATCTCCTGACACCCAAGAGATGCCTCCATGGGGAGGTTGGAGATTTAAATTGCTCTCTGCCAGTGAATGAGTTAATCTGTATTCCCTGTCTCAAAAAAAAGGGAGGGGGAGGGACCACCTTATTTTAAAAAAAAATAGATATCCTTCCTATTTCATGAGAGACTCATGTTTTCTGCATAGGAAATCTCAGTGAATCATTTCAACCAATCAAGGAATCAAATGCAATTGATTTTCTAAGTTTAAGTATAGGAGATTGCAGTGAACCACTGATTTGCACACTGCTCCTCTTGAGATGCATCACTTCAGCACAATCCAGCATAACTGAATACATGCAGCATGCAGTCTCAGAGAAAACTGCTTTTTCATACTTCACTTTTTGTGTTTCCTCATTTACTTTTGTGTTGAGCTTGCATTTTCTATATTTGATTACCATCATTTTAAAGGCCTAATCCATCATTTAGGCTCTAGGTCTAAAGTGTGACACTCCATTTTTATAGTTATTGTCACACCTTGAATCACAGTATTCAAAATTACAGAGAGCATCATGGGATTCAGTAGAAATGATGAACACTTGATCAGAAGATTGCAAGATATGAAAAGGTTCAGCTCTCATCAGTTCATGAGGATATTCCCTGAAAACACTGATCATGTCATGGTCTTGAGAATTTGTTGGAACTGGATTGAGTGACAGAAAACATGGAAACAAATTTGCAGACACCCAAGCTGCAAAAAATATTGAGGCTGATGAGTAATTGATCCTCAGTCAAGGTGAACCTCTAAACTGATTGAATGATGGGAATGATGAACATGATATGAAGAGTTCATCAAGACAGTTTTCATCATTGAGACTACCTGCTGCCAGCACTGCCATTGAGGAGAGCACCAAAGTGGTGCACTGGGCAAGATGCAACTTGTACATTGCTCATCTATTGTGCTTTTTGATGCTTTAAAATATTATCACATTTGAAGCGTTGATGAAGTTATTTTACATTTGCAGAAATAATTTTTAATATCCTGCAATTTCATGTAGAAAAACATAAGCTTTGCACAATATCATATGAAGGTGTTTTTTTTAAATAATAATATGGTCCCCCTTCCCCTTTTTTGAGATGCAGTGTTGATACTGACTGTTGGCAAAGAGTGTTGACAAAAGATTTGTCAAATAATCTTTGGGGAAATCATTTACTTTGTGCCCTATGAGTATGCTGCTAGTGCACATGTGTATGTGGAAAAGTGAACACTGGGTTTTATAGTATGAAGATGAAAGAATTTTGCTTTAGCACTACCCTGTCAATTCCTCCAGATGAGATGAGAGATACATTTGGAATATTATACTAAGAAGTGTCAAAATTCAAAACCTTGCTTTCAATAATGCCTCTAGCTCTAAAGCTTTAGCAGTTACCAACCTGCAACTGCTCTTTCCCTATCTCTTCCCATCTCAAAGAACTGGAGCCATGGCTAGGGAAGTGGTTAAAAGTTTATTTTTGCAATATTGGTGTTGTAATGTTTCCAGTCTTGTTCCTTTTTTCCATATACAGAGTGGACATAAAGTCATGCATCATAGCAATTCTATATATTTTTTATTGATTATTTTATTACAGTGATTGATTACCATTCTCTATGATCAGTCTTACCCTACCACACAACAGAATTATCTGCACTCCTTCTTCTTTACACAAAGACATTTCAGCAGCAAATTACCTGCAACAAAATAAAAAAGATACTACTGCTATGATACATGACTTTATGCCCACCCTGTAAATTAAAGTTGTCAACACAATATAAGATTAATTTCTATTCACATAATGAAAAACATCATTTATTCATTTTCAGTAGCTTGTGATTTCAATATTTCATTGACTTTGGTTTCTTTGTCACCTTGCCAATGCAGGAAAATCATATTTGATTTTATTAGAAATAGGCACAAATGTGACATATATTGCCTATCAGATATGAGAATATTTGGACATATATGGGAAAATAATGTCTGATCATATCTTCTTATTGAAACAAAGAATATTTGATCATATGTGGCAAGACCTTTTGTTAACTTAATGAAAGACATTTATGCCAAAAATATGCAACAGCAGATAATGTACTTAGATGACTTTGGTATACCTATTTTGTTTTTGGTGGGCATGCATGTCATGCTTGGTAGGAAACATTATGTTATCATATATATCATGTGATATCATGTCATCGTCACAAATCTTGTTCAAATGACAAAAGTGACATCAGGAGCCTTATCTGTCACTTCAATGACATTGAAAATTAAAAAAACACCTATTATGCTGAAAATGAAGCATGCTAGAGTTAGTAAACAAAAATGTCCATTTTAGCTGTACATTTTACAAAAACTGTAATGTCAATTAGAAATCCAGGTTTGTCAAGTTGTAAGCTGTGAAAGGTGTTGTTGTAGTTGTAATAAGGGATGGATGAGGAAAAAATGAAATTAATCCCTGGAGATTCTCCATACAGGTGCCAATTCATTTTGGGGCCATTAGTTGATTCATCTTGCATTATATTCTTCCTTTCCCCTCACAGCTATGCCATCATTTAATTGAGAGCTGAGACAATGTCAGACACTTTGACCTTGGAAAATTCTGCTAGTACAGTTACCATGGAACATGATCATTTTCTCAAGAAAAGCCTATATTTGATCAAATATTTAGGCATCTGTTAGGTATAGTTAGGTTAGGTAGATCTTATATATAAAAATCATATACTTCAACCAGGTGCATAATCCAGGAGACCATCCCTTAAACCTAATGATTCTTGTATGTAGAGAATACATGTTGCCCTGATATGTTTAATGTATGAATAAACCTCACATGGATCATATGCTCTATCTATATTTGGTCTCTACATGTAGAGTCATACATCAATACATGGAAAAAATACATATATATGGTACAGATAGCTGTATTGAACTACTATGTATGCTCATTCTGTATGATTGTATTTAGAGCAACAAAATGTTGATTATTGGTGGGTGTTATGTGGTTCTTGATGTAACTTATTTATGCACCCTGTGCTTCTGCCCTATTGGTTATCTGAACTAGACTTTTTTTGGTGCATATACTTCACCTTGTAAAGCCATTAGTTAGGCACTTGTCCTGAAGTAGGTAATCTTCCCAAATACTGCTTTCTTTTGAGAGCAGTGTATGAGAATCTGTGATGTTTTTAGTCAGGTAGGCATGTTTTCTCAAGGTTTTGAGCATGGTCCATTGTTACCCTGCTTGCAAAGGCACCAAGGTTGAGGTTGGGATGCAGGGGAGGGGGGCAGGAGAGGAAGAAGAGTGCAATGGATCTGCAGGAGAGGTTTTCATTTGGAAGGAGAGTCCTTTGTCAAGTTTATGTACCCCTGGAGTAGTGACTAAACTTGTGATTGTTGAAACAAGTCTATCTTATTCAATCTTGTGTGTTTACAATCATTGTGAAATCCATTTCACATTTTCTGATGTTCCAAAGTCTTGGGTTTTTTTTCTCCACTACAGTATTTTTTAAATCAGAGCAAAACTTTATTTTCACAGATTTTCTAGTGTTTTTCTCACTCTCTACACTTAATAGAATTTAGGTTCATTCATTCCCCTATTCAATTTGGCATTTTTGGATGAAGTTAAAGCGAATGAGATAGATTTTTGTTGAATGTGTACATCTGGGAGGGGAAATTATGTAATAGTTTTCCAGGTTTCCCTGAGTGGTCACCTTTCATGGCAATATGTTTTACTCTGAACTTACTGGTTTACTTAAATGGAAGTACTTGCACCATGTAGACAAGGAATAATTTTTTTAACTTTCATCATGTGAGTTAACAAAACTTTTATGAGTACCATGCCAATATAAATTTCAAATCTTGTATATTGAACTTCTCTGCACTCAATCTTAGTCAGTTTGCTACTGAAGGTCATGTTCAACAGGAAACTTGAATAAATGGCAGTTTGTTTAGCTAAATTGAAGAGATCATTCTAAAATCACTAGGAAGGAAGTGAATCCTCAGTTGCAATTTTTGCAGTCCATTATTGATCATTAGTTTTTATGCTATCAATTGCAATGCCAGAGGCAAATTATCCAATGATAATTTGTGATCTTTTTCTCTTGATTAACACGTTGGCGACAATGCGTCCTGATGCCAGGATGCAGATTTTTTTTCAATGAATGGAACTGTTGAGAACGTTCCAGAAGTTTATGATTTCGTAATTACTGATAAAAATNCCTCCTTCAGGCTTCGACTTCGGCAGCTTGCAACCCTACCAACGGCCATAGAGCCAATAGTGCTACACCAGAGGCCAATTTCAGTGGTTGTTGATACATTGGTGCAGCCCTAATTTATTTATTTTTATATATATTTATAATTCAGGATGATGAAGAAGTCACTGTGCAGTATTATTTTCTTTGCTCCTTTTCTTTCTTTTGAAACAATGTTCTCTGTCTGAGTTTGAGGGAATATTTTCTAATGTTGCATGTCACTTGCTTGGATTGTCTCAGTCTTTCATGATATAGTAGTGAATGATTATCTTCTAATAGTACCCATAGGATGCCTGGGCAGATGACATGGTAAGGTAGGTTGATAACTTGGAAAGTCCTGAAACTAAATGAGTCTATATTTTTCATGTGTCATGCAAAGACAAGGCACATCCATGCATGCCATCATGTGGGTAGAATTAGTTGGACAGATAACTTAGTATCTTCTTTCTTTTTGAAATCATCGATGTGTTGTTATTGTATTTCTTTTCATGAGTTTCTTTTCACTATGCATGAAGACAGCCCTGAAATTGGCCGACTGCCGGCATGCCAGTTGCATGAGATGGGAAGATCAACAGGTGAATCGTATAGTACCGGTATGTTGAATACGCACCCTTGCATCTGGATGCAATTCAACAGATAGTTTGCTCTTAGGCAGGGCATACCAGAATTTGGTAGGGGTCTTCTGAGTATCATTTGTACTTCCAGTACATTCTTTAGTTCATTTCTCATCTTTTTAAATAAAAATGGTTGTATTTGTTCATTTTAATTGAAAAGTTTGATAATGGCTCATTGATAAATTAAATGAATATGAATAGGGAGTATGGGCCCTCTGAGTGCCCTACTGAGTTCCATGATTTAGGTATCTCTTTATATCTACATCTTCAAGGTTTCATGTGTTTAGGAGCTCAGGTCTTTATCAGATGAGAATAGGGAGTGACATGACTTCAGATGGCCATTAGACTGGGTTGTGTTGACAATTTGTAGAAGTTTGCTTTATGCTTTTCAAAGATGTAGAGTAGAGTAGCTCATGCATTTTATTCAGGTGATTGAGATTTATGGACCTCACAGTAATTCTTATATGCCCTGTGCTTTGCTCAGATACTATTGAGCATGAAAGCTCTCCAATGAAATGTATATACTTGGTTTTCACCTCCTGTATGACTCTCTTTTCTGCTCAGAGGAAGGTGGGAATCTCTGTTGGAGTTGGCAAGGTGTGAGATTGTCAGCATGTGTCACAATGATGCCATTGATGCCTATGTTCTCAGGTGAGTTACCTTTACATGGAAAGGGAAAAATTATCCATGCTTTATCCTTTATACAATTGGAATTGCTAAAAAGTTAACGAGCTATTTTTCATCATATCTGGCCTCAAGTAAGTCCTAATCATGGTTTTCACACCTAAGTTGCTCTGTCTCGTCCTACTGTCTATATACAGTGTGCTTATAAAGTTAGTTGGCCTATTCAAATAACTGTATTATGAAAACTGTCTGCTGTGGAGAAATGAAATTTGGTACACATACAAATGGGACCATGGGGAACATTTTCCCATTGAAAATGACAGTATACACTAGAGGGCACTCTATCAGCTCAACATGACCACCATTTGTGTTTATGATGACTTGCACGTATGGAATAACATGGTACACAGCTGCATGAAGCTATTCATCATTCAAGAGGGTGATTCAATGTTGGATGGTATCTTCGAGATCTGCCAAGGTAGCAGGCATTGTCCGATACACAACTGACTTTTGGTCACCCCACAGCCAGAAATCACGTGTCAGATCTGGAGATCGTGGTGGCCAGACTTGATGTTAGTGCCCTCTGGTGTGTACTGTCATTGTCCATGGGAACATGTTCACCATGGTCCCATTTGTATGTGTACCAAAATGATAATTATGTTCTTCTATTTCCACTTCTCTCTGCATTACACCAAATGCACCCAATAGACAATGGTTATTATATGCCTCTATCCAACAAGTTCCCAGAGATCAATGTGGTAAACTTTACATGAATTCATAATAATAATTTTCTTCTTAAGTGCCACAGAATCCAGTTTCTGAATCTTCTATTGTTTTGAATATACCATCTAACAGGACTCATTCATTGACAGATTGTGTCAGTCAGGGATACTAACTCCAGTGATGGACTGGGTCCCAGGTCACAGACCAACATTCTGAGAAAAGGGTCTAATTAAATTACACCATGATCTTTCACAATAAAAGATTATCATTTGAGGTCACAGGCTAGGGGTCATGCATGATTATTCCTCAGATGACAGTTATATTGCTCTATCTCCACTTTGCCTTAACTCTTCTCCCGTTTGTTTCACTCAAGTAGTGTTTGACATCAGAGCAAAATTGCCTGGTCTTCTTTGCTCATTCGTGACTTGAAAATATTTTAGCATGAATCAAAAGTGGAGAGAGCAGAGAATGTTTTCTTATAAAATTTAAGCATTTTGCTCGTTAATCTAACAGTACGGAAGCCATTTTCTTGGTTGATGTTTGAAGAAAATAAAAACGTGACAATCGGTTTTAATAATCTTTTCCTGGGTTTTAAAGATGGAGGGCCAGGTCTTTTATGCATTTATGTGTAGGGGGATCTGAATCCTTTATTATTGAGTCAATAGGAAAATTATAAGAAGTCAGGCTGGACTGGATGAGTGGGAAATTTGTAAAAAAAAAAAAAAAAAAAAAAAAAAAAAACCAAAAACAAAAAAAAAAAATGCTAGAAAGTACAGTAACATGGTTTTGAAGTTTCAACTGTCTGTGTTACAAAAAAAAGGATCCCAAGCACACAGTAAATAGAGACCTCCATGGGCCCCCCTTCAAGTCTCTGCCAACAAGAAAGTCTTTGATTACTTCTATGACTCATAACAGGAGATGCAGTGCAGTGGAGGGCTCTTTCTGGAGAGCCAATCATGTGAAGGTATTCCGCGTGGGAAGTTATTTTGTAACACAGACAGTTGAAACTTCAAAACCATGTTACTGTACTTTCTAGCTCTGCATGTGTCACATATGAAGCTCATTCTACATTTCATTCCAGAGGTTTAAGCCATTATGTCATCCGACGTTTTGGTCGGATTTCTCTATGGCAAACTGGTTAAGGGTTAATTTTTAAATTTTGCTTGATGCTCCAAAAGGTAACAACCAACATTTACTGTAGCCTCTCCAAGTTCTCATGGTGTCATTTGGTGAAATGTGCATGAATGCATAAAAATTTTTCCATTCTAGGTGCCACAGAGACAATTTCATTATTTTGTTTTGTTCTATGTCCACCAACAAGCTGCAACCATTCAATTTGGTTTGCAACTATAAACACATTCACATTTTTTTACAAGTCAGTCATGACTCATACAGCCCACCTAATGTAACTACAGTCAAACTCAGTTATAACGTCATCAAAGGGACCAGGTAAAAACCGTCGTTATAACCGAGGTTGCCTTTATTGGCACTCCATTTTCCTGTTTTCAAAATTGATGCTATATAACATTACAACTCCAGTTTACATTGGTCATACTGCACTAGCTTCAGTTTCAAGATCGACCCACTAATCGTTATGTTCGCACTTCTTTGGACCTTGAACTACTTTATACTTTAGCAAGGCTTCGTCGATGTCATCTTGACAGACCTAGGAAGTTTCTTGTTTCGTGACATGTTCTCGTAAGCACGGATGAAGCTGTCACAATTTTCCCAAATTGTGGAAACAGATGAACAGTTGTCCATGTTCGCGAGCAACATTAGCTTCACTTCGAGCTCGTTCTATTAAACTAATCAAGCACACTTTCCTTTCAATCGTGAAGGCTTGCCTCTTTCATTTTCCACTGGCCATGTTCTCAACGAGAAATGCAAATGGCGACTGAAGATAAGGTGATCTTACTTACTGGGGATTATCCCTCCCTAACATTGCTCCAGCCACACCCACATGACTCTCAAGGAATGCTAAATCCAGGAAATATAAAGTTATGGCTTGCCAATGCTAATTTTTCCGATGATGGAAATTTCAGTGAAGAATGACGGATTAAGGACATGAACATTGTCGATTTTGTCTGTGGGACCTTCAATGGACTTCGCTATAACCGAGGTTTCGTTATAACAGAGTTCGCTATAACTGAGGTAAAATGTAACGTGCCTTATGGGCTCTACGCTGGGACCTGGCACTTTTGTCATTATAACCGAGGTAGTTATGACCGAGTTCGACTGTATAGGCATTTTGGTCCTGCAGTGAACATGTTAATGGTTGCATCCTGCACATTCACACAGCATTTCTGTGCATGTGTGTCCCCTGTCATCACTTTAATGTTGACTGAGAATAGGGTAATTATCTCAGGGAATGTAATGTCATGTCATACATGTCATGAATTTCCAAGAATCTAATTATGTTCCAATATAAATTTATAGAGCACCCAGAACTCAGAGGTATGATGATTTTTAAAATGAGATTATGGAATAGAGACCAAGAAAGCTACATGATGCCTGTCTTTTTGTACCTTGTTTCAAGTTTCCATCGTTTTGTTTTCTTCAAAGGCCATCCCACAAAGTAGTTTTGCTTGTTCTATTACATTCAAAATGCAAAAGTCATGCCAGAAGTGTGGAGTGAAAGAAAAACATATCAATTCATGAGTTAGCCCCCAGATAGATATATAATACTGTGTATAGTGCATCCGTTTAAATTGCAGGTAGAGAGAGATAAGCAAAGGAAGACATTAGCATGTCAAGCAGCACTGGGATGAAATGGGAAAACTATGATTAATGAGAGGAGAGGGGGAGTGAAGAAGGAAACCAGTGGCAGAGCTTCCTCTCCTTTCAACCCTCTACTTCTCAAAATATTTTAAATAATAGGCAGGTAGGCAGCATCTTACCTCCTTCTCCCCTCAAAAAAGGCGCAGAGCTGCCCTTGGGTTCAGGGGTGGCTGATTTGATTGATGCTTCCCTCTTCTTACCCTCATTACTCCCTCATTAGGCCAGTGCCGTATAGATCTGACTACCCGCGATTCAAACAGATGTACTATATCAAGGAATTTCCTTGAAAGAAATTTCACAGAATCTTACTTTTTGAAATTTTTCTAGGACTGTTTTTATACATTTCAGTGATGAGATTTTCTTAAACTGCAGGTTAGGGATATATTTTGAAAAATGAGTTTTTTTTTTCCATTATATAGTCAATGGAGAACTAACATGGACAGTGGAAGAAGAAACAATAAATTAAGGAATCAATTGTTTTGGCAACTTCAGACAGTTGGAATGAAAAGTGAAATTCAATAACTTGATCACAATATCTGCAGTTTTCCAGGGGTCACTATGAGAATGGCGATAATGTTCATCCTACTCTATCAGAGAGGCAAATAATATTAATTTTGTTTTTTTGTCTTGAGGTGGTGATTCATTTTTTAATTTGCCCACATATAAAGTTATTGGAATTCTGATACCCCTACATAGTTCCTGTGCATTGAAAAATGATTCTGTACATGGAAGATAGATGGTGCAGAAATGCTAGCTGTAACTGAAAGTGATTTAAGTGTTTGATGGGAGAAAATTATTATTATTTTTTAAATTCCAATGTGATTTTGCATATTTTGCAGTGAGAGCAGCATGTTTGTATCAAAGCAACGTTTCATCCTGAAGACATGCGGGACAACAACTCTGCTATGGTGCATGCAGCATCTTTTACGTCTTGTGAGCCAGTATGCTGGCTTTGACACTGTGCAAGTATGTTGCCTTTTCACATGTCCCTTTTCCCTCTACCTTATTATGGTTCCTTCTTATGGACATGTAAATTGTATTGTGACTCCAATTCCTCACTGTTAGATGAGGGCTGAGCTGAGTTTTGTCAGTCTATGGCATCAATTCAGGTTAGGACTTAGTTTACTTTTTTTATGTTGCAATATGTTCAACTCTTCTACCAATAGGAAATCAGTCCAGTAATATGATTCATAAGAAGCAAACCAACTCTTCAGTTTCATCGTATGAGGTGTAAGAATTGCTAGTGCAAATGACCTAGTGACTTTATTCCAGCATGATTGGATGACGACCTTCCCTTGACAGCATACCATCAGACATAGGAACAAGAAGTTCACACTCAGTAGGAACAACATTGAAGGTGGACATACTTTATCAATCTGTTATGGCAAGCAAAGATATAAACATGGACATTGTGTGCACCTAATTGGGGGAGGGTGCACTGGTAAAAGATGGTGTCCAAGACTGCTGAACCCACTCCAACATCTTGCAAAATTTTACCACTTAGTATAATTTTGCATCCTTCCATTATTTAGGATGCCCAAAGTATCTGTTTGTTTCATCACTTGCCATGACAAGTTGGCCTGAGTTATGTTCATCCTTTTGATCAATTCAACCAAATATGACTTCATTGTATCACCATCTGAGGTTGCACTTTGAAAGTGAGATTGTCTTCTAATCGTGCCTGAAAAAAACTAGTGGGTCACTTGCTAAACCATCACTTGATTAAAATGAAAACAGATTTGCCTTTTAAAAGTCATACTACTGGGTAAGTCATAATCTTGGCTGCTGCAAGTTAAGCTTGCTGTAACATGCAAAGTATTTGCATGAACCCTCTTGTGAACTGCTGGAATAGAGTGACAAAACTTTTGGATAAGCCCTATAATGGGAGATTCCACCTGATGATTAGAACATTTCCTGTCAATCAGTGCTTAAGATTTTCATGTGAATCTTTCTGTGCAGAAGTGTATTTATAGTTATCTGCCTTATGATGTCTGTGCCCTGGGTGGACTATTTTATCTACACTAGGTTATTGGGGCCTTTACTTGAGTATTCTGACTTTCTTTCTCTTTTGTTCCATGATATGTATATATTTCCAAAATCTATTTGTAGGACATGTTCTATTCCCGGAAGAACTTCACTCGTCCGGAGCTCCAGCCTCAGCCTCATAACAACTTCCAGGAAGAAGTCTCTGTGTTGGATCAGCTCTTTCCTGGTATGTGCATATTACTCCTCATCCCTAATTTCATGTCCAAAACAGACTAATGTACCCCATCCCAGTGGTTTCACTATATGTCTCTTTGTACTTGCATATGATGTGCAGGTAAAAAGTTTGGGGACTGGCCCCACAGTTCAGTTGTAAGTGTATCTGTCACCTTCCTTTGAAGTATTTCCCTTTAGATGCCATAACTTGCACCCATGTGTCTTCAACCTCCAGAAGCATCTATTAAGCTTTTGAGCAACAAAGGTACGAACTATGACATTCACCCTCCATTGAGTTTCCTGCAAATCATTGTTGTTTGCATTTCATGGGAAACAACTTGGGGTTGAGAAAAAAGTTAGGGAGTAATTATCCAGGAAAAATGGGAGATGGTCAAGTGCTATGATGGATTTTCTCTTAAGGAACTCCTTATGCCTGACTGGTTTGTTGTCTGCCTGCCAGAAGACCATGACATTTTACATGGTATGGCAAAAAAAAAGTTTGAATGACTTTTGACCTAAATATCCCTGCTCACACTAGGGCTTTCTTCACAAAATGTTCACTGTGCATTTATGAGTATGTTTCTAGCTGATTCACAAATTAGAGATGCAACGATACTTTATCGGTTATCGGTATCAGCCGATATTGGGTGAGCCGATATATCAGCCCGAAACGATATATGACCTGCCGATAACCGATATTGAAACAACACCTGAAATATGTCAAACACTAAGTATGTAGAGCAAATGATGAATATTATCTCATTATTCTCATTAATGTTTTCCACATGCATTAGACATTTCCCTTGACTCATACAGACATTAATGGGACGTTCCTCATGCATGAGTGTCGAAGTCGAATGAAAATATGTCTGACTCAAGTGAAAAACATTGTAGAAGGTTGAAATTGCCGAAATGATATGTTTTCATGAAAGAAAAGAAGTATTAGGGTGCAGAAAATGTAAGCATTTTTCTCTGTTGGACTGGGAGTGGCCGCTAGGCACTGAAGCCCCATTCCTATTTGACAGTGTCTCCCAGTGACAACCTGTTGCAAGCACATGATGCAGGCATAATTGACTGTGATGGAGGTCTAAAATCATTTTGCGTTTGGTTTAACCGCCATAATAATCTGGAGATATGCCACCATAACCTTCACCACTGTGGTTCTTCAACGTCCCACATCTAGATGGGAGCGCTCCGTGCTCAGGTACTCCCTTCCCAAGCACACTGGCACTTGCACTAGGAAATATATACCTTACTCAGCTAGGTTCGAACTCGGCCCCCCCTACCACGGGACACAAGCCAGTCACCCAAGAGAGGGATATAAGAAGCATCATCTACTTGACTCGGCCTAATGCCACTACCGTAGCCTACTCCGTGCTTTCTGCGAAAATAGACATCGCTTGTGTTCGCGCGAAGAACCCAGGCCTAGATGGATCCCAAAACTTAGGTACACAAATCGCTAGACAATAGTCTGATTTCAACTCTTTCGTGCCTACATGTTACTTTTGGAACCACCAATTTTCAAGAATTTTATCATCTTTATATTCATTTAAGGGCTGTACCGATGGCACATTTGGTTGGTTGACTGATGGCCATTTTGAACTCATACCCATTGGCCAGTGCCAGAGCCAGAGCCAATTTATGGTCTATAAATTGCGAAGAAAGTAACATGAAATCACATACGAATTCAAATAGACCTATTTGGAAGCCTTGTGATACTTATCAGTGAGACTCCTGAAAATGATAGACCACTTTTAGCCCTTTCCAGCTTGTCTGCGGCCGTCAGTGATTAACTTGTTACCTATTGCTGCTAAGAGCGCATAACAGTACCTCTCGCTCATGCATATCATAAAAGGAGGTGCAATGATTTAACAGTCTTAACAGCTATTTCCTCCACCAGTTCCTACAATCAAGCTGAAATATGAACCGAAATATTTTTTTTTCTGGGATGGGGCGGCAGGAGAGGCTTTCAGTGAGACAGGAGGGCCGGCGCCAAGCAACGTTCACACACACACATAGTTTTTTTTATTTATATTTTGCCCTCCTTCAGGCTTCGACTTCGGCAGCTTGCAACCCTACCAACGGCCATAGAGCCAATAGTGCTACACCAGAGGCCAATTTCAGTGGTTGTTGATACATTGGTGCAGCCCTAATTTATTTATTTTTATATATATTTATAATTCAGGATGATGAAGAAGTCACTGTGCAGTGAAATTAATTCATTTTGTGGCTTTTATTTAGTACTATTCTGCATATCATGCGTATTGCACCGAAGACAGAAATTCATACACAATACGTCATCAAATATTTGCACCATCCATGATGCGCATTATTGTCTGTACATCCCATCTACAATGGGGCTTCCTGCATCATATCATGAACTCTACTGCACAGTGACTTCCTGATCACCCTGTATAATGTATTACAAAAATATATTTGTATATTAAATACTTCTGTTATATAATATATATAATTAATCACCCTAGAAATTTTCCAAATATGCAATTATGTTCGCTTTTCATTCGCATGGCAAATTACCTGATGTGTTAACAATCTGTCAGTCATGTCCCTCTGGGAGTGGAGTCCATTAGAGGTAAGGAGGGAACTTTGGCATTCTTAACATTTTCTTAACTGTCTTTTGAAAAAAAGTAATTGCTGTTACAACTTTTTGCAAGTTCTATGATGGAACATAATAAAGAAAATGCCTGATGTAAATCCAGTGTAATATTTTAAAATCCACATTAAAGAGCCTGGCTTCTGCATGTACACAACATTTCCTCTCACTAATGGAGAAATGGTGAAAGCATTAGGTGCAGCAGTGGAGGGGTTAATCCCTGAATATAAATGTAGATATCGGTATCAGTTATTTTCCAATATCAGAATTATCGGTAATTGGATATTGGCAAAAATTCAATATCATTGCATCTCTACTCAAAATGTCATCCAAATTTATTGAGCCAAACCAATACTATCAGCAATTATTGAAAAGAAGTTAGACATTGAGAATGGACAAGAGCTCCTGCTGGGAGTGAAGAGGAGTAAACACTCAAGCACTGCCCTTCCTGGTCATGAAGACTAGGGATGCACCCATACCGATCCAAAGTATTGGTATCAGCCGATACCAAGTGGATCGGTCAGAATCAGTATCAGCCGATACCTATATGGCTGATCCAATCCAAATATCCTTCTCTGCACGCCATACACGCAGTGTGTTAATTTTTGGAACGTCTCATTTAAAAAAAACCACTCGTAATGGCATGTGGTTCCTAAGTCCATCATAGTTCTTGTTAATCTCCAACTGATAGATAATGAGCTTGGGCATGGTTAAAGCGGAATGCGAGAGATTTGAGAAGGGCATTTTACAAATGGAATGGGCCAGTGTCATTCGCATACGCATTCATTCTTTCACTTTCCCCCCTTCCATCCCGTCTCTGGTCTTCCTGCGCTGACTGGTTTTCGCAGGCGCAATTGGTGCTCACGTCCATCCTGCCTCCGGCATTCCCCTCGAGCACCGATCCCAGTTGTACAGTAGTTGCATCAACTCCTTAATCCCTTAAGGCATTAGATCAAGAAGCTATTATATTGGCTGACGTAAATGTCTCCAGAGCTAAATAAATTACAGGAATTTTGAATGTTGGGCCATGAGTGTCCAAGGATTTTTTACTTCTCTTATATGCCAAAGGTAGCATAAGGCCTACTAAGGTCTGGTCCTGTATTGTGGTTTAATTTCTAACAGCCACTGGGAGCTATCTGTATCGGTATCGGTATCAGCTTATCCTGGATCGGTACATCCCTAGTATACATCATCTGAATCTGCAACTATCTCGTGGATTTCTCCAACTTCTCACATCCTTCCAGGGGCTTGAATGACTTGATTGGGCCTTGTTCTTTCCCTTTCCTCATGTCTGATTTCTTCCTCATTTTTTCTTTCAGTTTTAAAGAACGAAAAAATTCCACAAAATTGTTCAGCATGCAAATGCTAATGGCATAGAGGCAACCATATTGAAATTGGCAGGCAGTTGGCCTGCTACATAGTGAGAGCATAGGAAAATCTGCTTCACCTTTGCTGAATATGCATCTTAACTACTTGCCTACCACCCTATCCTATGACTAAGTCACCTAGAGCAACACATGGACACAGATATGGAAAAAGGGCATATGGGCACATATGCCCCTTTTCCAGCAAACTCCTCAATTGCTGATATAGCTTTTGCTCAACAAATTTTGATTAAATTATGAGAATCAGTTTAAATTATGCTCATGTATGCATGGTGAAAGTTTTGCAAAAATAACTTCAGCATGAGCAGAGAAATTAAGGCTTAAAAACCATTGGACTTTTTTTTTTTGCCAAACCTTTTATATATAAATATAACAAGGTCTGTCAGAAACATAACTGGAAGTGAATTTAAATGCAGAAAAAATTTAGCAAAGGCAAAATAAGAGGACCTTTCCCTTGAATAATTAAGTACAATAATCTCCTGTTATCTTGAAGTTGTATTGAAGTTTCATTTGGCTAGATTTAGCAGTTTGAGAGTACATTAATACCTTGCAATATGCTTGGGATGCATTCCTGAAAAACCCAGTGTATAGCGAGCGGATTGGAAGGTAAAGTCATAATGTATAACAAGCGTAAAACTGAAACAAGTGTGTTGAGAAGCAGCGTGTGGCGAGGTATTACTTTATTCAAATTACTTCTTAGACTTTGGAAGCAAGTTATGCACACCTACTCCTGAAGCTAATTGCCAAATTGCTTGTCTGTACAAGCTCAGAAAATATGTGGCTATGAATTGGTGTGCTGTACATATGGCCTCTCAGGCTTGCCTGCTGTCTTTACTTCTTGTGCTAATGTTATCAGTAGTGCAAAGGTGGTTATTCATAAAATCTATTTGGAACAGAGCTGTGGAGCATATTGGATTGTATGAGTGTTTCCCCAACAACAAAATTGTTCCAGACTTGTATTGCTAGAAACAATGTGTAACATTTCTAATTTATCATGGGAAGTCATTAGAATCACATACAAATTGCATCCAAAAGCAAGCAGTAACATTGTGAATGCCTTAAATGCCTGCCCACTGATGACAGAAAGACCTACAGGACTCACATACAAATACCTAAGCAAAAGAAGAAAGGAAAACTGGATTACGATCCTTCAGCAACATTTCACCAAGCCATAAACAATGAAAAGATGAAGAGTGAATGATCCATTTAAAACCTATGACTTCCTCAGACTTCTAGAAAAGTGAAGGCTATAAAAAAATTATTAAAAAAATTTGTATTATTTTTCTGAAAAACTTTACCATAAACTCTTTGCAACAAACCAAACGAACTAAAGTATCAAATACAAACATGTATACAACTGAGGGGGTGCAAGCCCTGAGAGCAGAAGCAGAAATTGAATATACTCCACCTCTAAGTCATGTGCATCATGAGAAACTCTTATGCCATGCAAACTGCCTCCAGTCCTGTTGCAAATGTGCTTGCTTGTTCAGCACGTGTTCTTAATACCATTCTAGAGTTTACCACTGAAAATGCCATTTTGACAGATAAATTCGCAGATTAGGCACAACTGCTTTTCCACTATCAGTATTGCTAGCAAGCAGGACAGAAAGCAGGTGAACCTGAAGCGCTGTGCTTCTAACCAACCTCTTTTAATCAGCATCATAATCGACATAGCATGGACTTTGGGCTGAGAGGAAATTATTGGGTCCTTGATTATTTTGTCATAGTATTTTTTGCTCCAATTAAAGGCCTTGTTCATATTTTTCATACATTGAATCTGGGTCGATCTTCAGAAATGACTGTCATTGGAGAAAGGTTGACAGTGTTGTACAAAATGCTGAATGCATATGTGGAACTCACGTGGCATCACAATTTGCACACAGGGCTGTAAAACCTCTTTGTCACTCTTGGGTATTCTTGCAGTGTCTCCATAGTCTTGCTGTGTGAAGAGATCTGTAGCAGTTGGGGTACAGGTCCTCCACATGGGCTGCAAATTGCACTTTCTGGTCTATCACCATCCTGAGGTACTTCTCTGCTTCCACAGAGTTTACTGTGGACCTGCTAATGGATATTGTTTTGTTGTGGTACCAAGTAACATGATGTCTATGGGGCCTTTGTAAAACTTGTAAAACTTTTTGCTGGGTTCAAGATGAGGTTGTGAGTAGATGAACTATTATAAATATGGTTGACATGGTCGTGGTATTCTGTGTAATTTTCACTGTTGCATATGCCTGCTGTGGTTGTCCTATCATTACCATGTTTATGCAATTATGCAGTTTTTCACTCTCTATTTGTGGTTTTGTATAACGAACATGAAAAGGTGACAGGTGACCTTGCACCACTCTTGTATGGCACAGTTTCAGACTGAATGGCTTTGCCTTGCATGCAATTTCCTGCTGAATGTCTCTGGTAGCTTTGCAATACATTTATGTGCCATGGGAGATCTACCCCTTTATGAAAGTATATTGGGAATACCCTTTTGAAGGAGTTCTGTAATCCAAAGGAAAGCAGCAGATGGTGATGCTTCCTGGAGTGAAGAAAAGTACAGTGTATGTAGTGCTCATTTGGCTTTTGTAGGTGAATTGGCAAACATTTGAGAAGTTTTCTCTGACTTTTCTTGCTCAGCAAAATCAGATACTCTAAGCACATGGACACTGAAATTATTCCTACAGGTTTATAATCATGTTTTGCATCTTTCATATTGGCTGAAAAGAAGCCTCACTCTCCCAAAATTGGTCAATATTGCATCCTAAGTCCTTTTGTTGAGTCATCAATGTTATATACCTATGTTATATAGGTACCTTTTAATGAAAACAAGGGAAACAATTATTTTCAAGAATTGGCTTCTTTCAGCCATTTTCTTCTTCTTACCATTTCATTTCACCCTGACTTCCCCAGTAGTTTTTCCAAGCAATATTCAATGAAAGCAGAGAAGTCTGAAACTCCTGGTAAGATATGAATCACCTCGAGCTTAACAGCTAAGCATTGCCAACTGCCTCTTGCCATCATACATGTGCAGACATTGGGGTGGTAGAGAGAGTTAACAGAGGGCTGCTGCTAAATCACATGGGTGGCATATCAATTCAACCCTGTCAAAGTTTGGCAAGACACTTATGAAAGCCTATGAATGATCCTATTTACTTCCACTACATCCTAGGGATTCATCCTCTTAGCATTCACTCTGCATTTTCGGCAGAAATGTGCTTCTTTTTAGGCAAAAGAGGGCAAGCTCCAGATCTTGCCCTCTTTTTCCTGTTTTTATTTGCTTTAGCACTGTGACTTTGGCCTTTCCCTGACACATGTATAGAAATTATTTTATGCTCCTGATGCAAGCCTGGCCTTTGAGATGCCAATGCTCTTATATATAGTATATATATATATATATATATATATATATATTATTGAGAGAGTCATGCCGATCAAGCTAAACCTATAGCCAGCACGAGTCCGAGCTATTGATAGAAAATGAGAAGAGAATACTAAAAAAGCGAAGGATAGCTAAGGAGGCCTAATGGACTGGCAAGTCGTAGGAGTCTCGTCAGGGGCACGATCCTACCAAACAACTTGCAGTGTAGTA